CTTCTTACTGATATCCTATGTTATTTCTGTTTATTTCTAATATCTGCTCCGGTTCATAATTTTAAGCATTAATCAATATATTGATTATCTCAGAGAGAATGATGACAGGATGGCAAGGATCCATCATAATGTATTTCTTGATCCTGGTGCAGCTCAGTCTTGGCATAAGACACATAGATAGCACCTATTCAGTCCAGCTCACCTATCCCAACCTTTGCCTTGACAAGGAGAAGGCATTAGACACCGTCCTGCTGCCCTAGCAGCGCAGCCAGGGCTGAGGTTTCTGGTTATACCGAGTCATTGTTCCTGGAGATTATGGTTAAGCCCCTGTTTGTTTGAATTTCAACTCTCTGTCTGCTGGATTTGCTGAGATTAACTGCAAAGCACCTCAGCTCTTCCTTTGAGCTCGAATTTTATTACTGCAGAGTTTAGAATTCCAAAAAGGCACCGAAATGAGACAGCCTGACCACTGCCTTAATGACCTTCAACTGATATAAGCCAATTAACTTCACAGGCAAAGAGGAGCTCAGGTAGTGTAAAAGCAGTCTCCAAGCTGTGAGAGCTGCTGCATGCACAGTTGTCTCCTAAAACCCACCATAATCTGAACCCAGGATATATCTGCATGGAAACACTCATGGCACAGCTGGTATCTATTTCCTCATTTCACGTATCAGATCTCAGTCTCCCCTTCTGCATCTGAGAAAAACAGAAATGGAAGACAGACCAGAAATTGAGATGTTTCTTAATGGCCTGTAGGATCCAGCATCACTGCATCTAATTCTAGTACACAGGGATTGCTTTTTGGAAGAACTTTATGATTCCTTGAGTTTGATAGTTTTAAAACCAGCAGCTTTTACTGAAAAGGAAGATCTGACCCTGAGGACTGAGAGAGTCTATTCTTCAGGATAACGATGCCGATTGCTGAATGGATGAAGGTCTGTAAACCAACAAGGCAAAGGCTGACTGCACAGTGTTGTATGGAGCCAGGTACAAGAAGAGATGTTGTCAGCAAGTTTCTTAAAAACTAGACAAGAAACACAAGTGAGGCTGATACAGGTGAGCAACAACAATCCATCAGTAGGCCCAGAGCAGTTCACAGATGTGCCAGTCCCACTATGCCCCTTCCACAGCTGGGATGGTGAGGCCAGGAATGTGGGTACACTTGAGTTGGGACCAGAACGTGTCTCTCCAAGCCTGCGCCGCACCATACCGCTTCTTATGGGCTCACCGGCACCGTCAGCACAGGAACTGGTCTGGAGGCTATGGCAGAACAGCACGAAAAAAAAGGGAGCAGAGCTACAAAAGTAGAGCCGTGGCAAATAAAGAGCTGCTGAGCAATGCAACAGAGTTTAAACACTTGGTTTCCTGGGATAATGTAGTGAGGGAAAAGCTTTATAGCAGCCAAGCCAGGAAATAAAAGTTTCTAGGGTAGAGAGCAGTATTTCCAGTAAAAGCACTGCTTGTCCTGCAGCAGTAAAACAACACCAGGCTAGTATTTAACATGCAAAGCACTGCCTGGCATTCAAAACACCTTCAAGCAACTTGCTTTAATGTAGCTACTTTGCAGCACTTTGAACTCTGTTTATATAAGAAGGAACCAGGGGCACAGGAAAATTGTTGAATAGCAGGTGACAATGCTAGTGAGTCAACCTGCTGCTAGCTATATGATCAGATCTAGATTTATTGCTTCAATTCTGTAATTTTTGCATGCTTTTGACATCAAGCTATTGTACAGCCACAATTCTGCTCTGACGGGTGATGCTCCGAAAGGAGCTTTTAGGGTTTTATTCGTGTAATTAAAGAGCCAGACTCACTAACTATGTGGGAATAACACGAAGGAAACCTGGCACAACAGACCAAAACAAAGCAGGCAGGCTACACTAGATGCCAGCTGAGAACAGCAAAACCAACAATCTCTATTTTAGTTTACTTGTATAAATGCAAAGTTATAAATAGAATAAACACTCCTGAATCATGCAACTACAAATTGAGTTGTTGCTAGTCAAATAAGATTTCCAGATGGAGACAAAACTAAAACTCACTTTAGCATCCTTTCCTTTTACTTTGTAAAACTAATGATCATAAACTGTGGTCCTCAGGTTTAGCCTCTTGCTCTTGAGAGGACCATTCAACCAGAATTTAAAACCCCATTATTTTAAATTATCAATCTGATCACGTCCGACTCCCTAGAACCAGAAATACAGTTTTCCAGCACTTGCTTTGGGACAGGTGGCTGGCTGACTTTAGATGAGTGAATACCGCCTCATATAACATACACCTTGTCAATCAAGCAATTTACCACATTCTTACTATACCTATATATCGCTCCCCCTTACATGCACTATAATAATTTTTCTACAGAGAAAACAGCACTGTCGCTTCAGATGTCCAGATAGGGCAATGCAGCCACCTCTGGAGTTTTCTCAATATTTGTCAGGATTACTCAGCACGAGATGACCAAGTCTTTCTCTGAGACCTGGCTGCTGGAATCAGCAGACCTCCCCCAGAGAAACCCAGCAGTCAGACAAAAACACAGCCTCTGGCAACAAGTTACCATGTGTTCCCCGTTCTGCAGTACACTTTGTTAACAGTTAACAGAAGGAGTTCACCCTTCTCTTTGAAGGGTGGGCAACCTCCAGTTACTTCACATTTATTATGAAGAAACAGCATTTTCATACGCTCTTACTCAACTACACAGTTGAGAGCTATCAGGGAACTAGTGCTTGCAATTACAGAGAAAAACCACGAAGCAAGCACCCCCTAGCCACTCTGAAGCAGGAAAGCAAATACATAGAAACTTAATATGAACTAGCATTTTGCATTTACTAAAGAAACGTTCTATTTTTAGACACTTCATTTCTTGGGACCTGATGTTTTTGCCTTTCTTGGGTTAGGCGATGCAATGCTCACACTGTCTTTTTTAGGCCAGAGCCATTCAAACTTAGCCAGAAATTGTATCAAGCTGCAGAGAGCTTCACTGAACCTCTTTCTGGTTACTGAGTTACGCTTTAATCGCTGTTCATGTATTAAAGAATTTGGGGATATTTTGCTCTTCTCTTCAATGCTCATTTATGAGGTCTTTTCCCTCCTCTTTTTCAAGTGAGATACTCAGAGCTCTGATTTTTGCAGTGCTTTTGACCTGCCAGTCCTCTTTGAAACCCTGGGGCAGGGGGAACGGGGTAATCTCACAGCACTCTACAGCACGCTGGCAAGCCCATACCACGACCTCTGTTCTGCTACAACGAACATAGAGAGAACTTGAATCAGTAGGTGACTGGTAATGCTGTAATACTGCCAAATGTTTGCTTGAAATAGTCCAACATTTTGTCTCAGGCCATGGCCATTCTCTTGTTTTATAAATTAATAATTCAGAAAGAAAAGCTTTTAAAGTAAAAACATCTCACTTCATATACTAATGTCTTGGCTCTCCACCCACATACTCTCCCACCTGTTTTCTTCCTCTACCTCCTGTTTCCTTTCTTGCCTTTCCAGAACATTTTTCTGACTTTAGAGCCAATCCTATCCTAACACTTTGAATTCACACAGACGAAATAACTGCAAGGCAAATGCCTGTTAGCGAGTGCACCCCTTGGGATCTCCTGCAACTCTGGCAGAGAGCTCAGTGCTGTAATGCTGCACGTACACAAGTGCGCACCATCAGGGTGGAGGATGCGAGCAGTGACTGGACCTCGATCTCCTCCCAAGAAAACACCTCATCAGACCCCAGCACAGTTTTACCTTCAGGCCCTCGCTTACTTCTGGGTTCGAGTGAAGGTGCAGATGACGGAGAACTCCACGGTGCCTGGAAGGCTGCCACATCCCACCAGGCCCTAGGTGCATTTACAAAAACCTGAACAAACTAAGGCTTTATCCCAGGGAACAAGGCTCCCAGTCTGCTTATTCACAGGGATCCAAGGTGATGTCTGTGCATGCAGTCAGGCGTGAATGCTCTGCGTTTCACTCCAACTTCTTCTTAGAACAAACAGATAAACCGCTGCCTGTCACTTGTCTGGTCAGGGAAGACTGCATTATCCATCACTTCCACAGGTGCACACACAGCAAGGCTGGTGCTGCTAAGGGATGTGGGGACATCGACTGAAAGTTGAACAGCTACCACAAATCACAAAAGATAAATTTCTATCTGGCTTAAAAAGAAACAGTTATTTCCAGCTATCTGAAATTAATTTTGTTCTTAAGAAGCCAGAAATTTAAGGGCATTGAAGCACCTGATTGCCATTGGGAAGCTAAAATAGATAACCCTAAGGTTTTACCCTCATGTCCAACCTTAACCACCAAGCATCCTCAGCCCACTGTCTCCTTGTTGGACTGTGAGGAGGAAAGTTTGCTGCTGCTGAGGAGTTAGGTATCCCAGAAGAAGGGGGTATTTTTCACTTGGAAAAGACCAGATGAAGGGAAAAGCCTTGCTTTGCAAATTCAGCTTCAGCCCAGCTGTCCTTACAACATCACATCCTCTCCTGGGCTTCTCTTGGGTTGACCAAGTGACAAGGACCAAGACTAATCAACAGGGATGAAGTCTCCAGCAGCGAGACGCAGCCCCGGTGCTGTGGAATGAAACATTGCTCCCAGTTCGGCACATCTCATCACCAGCATGTTCTGGCACAGGTTTGTGCTGTTAGCTGGAAAAAACAACTAATTGCCCAAAGCAAGAAAAAGCAGTAAGAGGAAAGCTACACTTAGGTCCCCACCTCCGCATTTGCAAAGTCCAATTGCTCCCGCATGTACCAAAGAGAGGTCAAACTACCAGCTCATTTTTTACTGCCTGAAACACGACTTATCGCCACGCTGAGCCTCGTCACCTCGCTGTGTCATTCACCAATTTTCCTTCCACCCCACGGACACGCAAAGCGCCAACGATTTCCTGCTGCCACTGTCAACTGCTTCCCCCCCACCGCCGCCCGCGGAGCCCCGCGGAACAGGACCACCCTCTTCCCCGGGGCCACCCCGTTCATCGGGGATGCCCAGACCGCCCCGATCCCTACCCCGTTGGCAGCAGCGATGCGGACGATGAGCTGGATGGCGCCTTCAGGTAGAAGCGGCCGCCCCCCCCCACGCCCAGTGTGGCTTCCTGCCGCTCCCCCGGCGGCACGGTGGCCAGGATGCTCTGGATGAAGTTTTCGGTATAATGAGCATTGCTTTGGAAGACTTTCACCCTTTTCCGTAACCCGCTGGTCCCGGGTTTTTGATCTCCGAACGGTTTGGTTTTTACAGTCACGATCTGCACCATGGCCGGTCACCGCTGC